TGAATATAGCACAGTAATTTGCAGATGCAGCAGTAAATAAGATAAGCTGAAGGGGAAATTCAAAAGATGACATTGCCAACTGGAAAGAAACAATCAACATATAATTGACCAAATCATGTGGATACGCTATGGCCAAACCCCCTTCCAAGAGGCAGAGCTTTGCTGCAAGTAAATAAAACTACCTTGTGACAACACTTCTTGTTGTTTAATTCTCACCTGAAGATGTGATTTTTAGAGAAAAAGGGGTGAGAGAAAAACATAGATATGACAAACACTAATCTTTCACCTCCTATACATGCCCCAACCAGAGATTGAACCCACAACCTTTTTGGTGTATCGACGTTTCTAGCTATCGCTCTCCCTTCCTCTCTGTAAAAAATCAGTAAAATATATTAAAAAAAGAAAAGAAAAGAAAAGAAAGAAACATCAATGAGAGAGAAACATCAATCAGCTGCCTCCTGCACACCCTTTACTGGGGACATGCCCACAACCAAGGTACATGCCCTTGACCGGAATCAAACCTGGGACCCTTGAGTCTGCAGGCCGATGCTCTATCCACTGAGCCAAACCAGGTAGGGCTCACCTCTTGCTTTTAAATAGAGTACCCCCAGTGGTGAACCCCTGGAGTTTGGTAACAGATGTGAATTGTATTTCCCCAGTGACCAGTGGTGGTGAGCATCTTTCAATGTGCTTATGAGCTTTCTGGAGATCTGCTTTGGAGAAATGTCTATTCAAATCCTCAACCCATTTTTCATTTGGATTTTTCTGTTGATACTGAGTTATATGAGTTCTTTATAAATTGTGAATATTGCTGAAACCGGTTTGGCTCAATGGATAGAGGGACAGAAAGGGCTTGGGGACAGAAAGGTCCAGGGTTCGATTCCGGTCAAGGGCATGTACCTTGGTTGCGGGCATATCCCCAGTAGGGGGTGTGCAAGAGGCAGCTGATCGATGACTCTCTCTCATGGATGTTTCTAACTCTCTATCTCTCTCCCTTCCTCTCTGTACAAAATCAACAAAATATATTTTTAAAAAATTGTGAATATTAACCCCATATCAGACACATGGTTTGCAAATGTTCTCTCTCATTCCGTGGGCTGCCTTTTCACTCTGTTGACAGTGTTTTTTGACATACAAGTTTTTTTTGTTTTCCAGTATGATTTTATTGATTTGAGAGAGAGGAAGGGAGAACAAAGGAGAAACATCTATGTGAGAAAGAAAAATCGATTGGCTACCTCCTACATGCCCCCTACTGGGGACCAAGCCTGCAATCCGGGTATGTGCTCTGACTGGGAATTAAACCCATGACTTTTTGGTGCATGGGATGACACAACCAACTGTGCCACACCGGCCAGGGGACACACAAGCTTAATTTTGATGATGTGTGACATCTACTTTCTTTTGCTGCCTGTACTTTAATATCTAATAAATCATCACCAGCGCCAGGGTCATGAAGCTTTTTGGTCTGCCTGTTTTGAGTGGCAGGCTGGAGGAGAGCAACTTCCACCAACATGAGGCACTTGGCCAAGTGGACCTTGGGGTGACTTGGGGGTCTCATCAAAGTGATAACCTTGAGACCGTGCAAGTTACAATAGGCTGACGTATTTCAGTGAGAAGGGGGACAGGAGGAATTAACCAATGAACTTATATGTGTGTGTGGGAGGGGACGGGAGCAGGTGGAGGGGGCAATGGGGGTGAAGAGGGTGACAGCTGCAATACTTTCTTTTTTTTAATTTAAAAAAATATATATATTTTATTGATTTTTAACAGAGAGGAAGGGAGAGAGATAGATAGTTAGAAACGTCGATGAGAGAGAAACATCAGCCAGCTGCCCCCTGCACACCCCCTACTGGGGATGTGCCCGCAACCAATGTATATGCCCTTGACCGGAATCGAACCTGGAACCTTTCAGTCTGCAGACCGACGCTCTACCACTGAGCCAAACCAGCTTCAGCACAGCTGCAGTACTTTCAACACCAGAGAAACATTCTGTAGAAGAGTGAGCATGTTAGCAAGTGCCCTGAGGTGCTCGGGATGATGACTCTGTCCAACCACGGGGCTGGCACAGGGTGTGCACTCTGGGGCTGGCAAGGTGACATGGCTGGCTGCCTTACCCGTGGCCTCTCGGGTGGGGCTAGAGTGAGTGCTGGGCTCTGGGCACCCTGGGGACTGTGTCCCCAGCCTCTGCAGCCACATGGATCCTCTCCTGGGCCATGATGGTGCCTCCACTTCACGTGCTCCATCACGTGTGGCCTGGGAAACAGGCTTCTGAGGAAGAGACACCCAGGAAGAAAGACGGGAACTGGGGAGGGGCCAGACTAAGCAGGAATTGCACCACCTCAGTTTTCCAACAAAAACCCTGGACAGCCGGGACCGGTTTGGCTCAATGGATAGAGCGTCAGCTTGGGGACTGAAGGGTCCCGGGTTCGATTCTGGTCAAGGGCATGTACCTTGGTTGCGGGCATGTCCCCAGTGGGGAGTGTGTAGGAGGCAGCTGATCGATGACTCTCTCTCATCGATGTTTCTAACTCTCTATCTCTCTCCCTTCCTCTCTGTATAAAATCAATAAAATATATATATATATTTTTAAAAAAAACCTGGACAGAGAGGCACCGGGGGCTCCCAATGGCCGAGGCCCCAGAAACGAGAGCCACAGTCGGGGCTGGGAACACAGGGACAGCGGGGACCCATGGGCCTGCCGCTGACACAGAGGAGATGGGAGGGACCCAGGGATGTACAGACCTGCGCAGGGAAGGGGTCCCCAGGGCAGCTGCTGGTCTGCGAGAGCACTGGGCCGCCTCAGCATACCCTCCAGCCTTTCTTGTGCAAGGGGGGAGTAGGTCTCGGGGAAAGGCTGGCAACACTAACCTCACCCAGGGACCCTGGCAGCTGGCCACTAATCCTGCCCACCTTGGGCGCTCGCTGCCCCCGGAGCCAGCTGGACGGAGTGGACGGGGTCTCTGAGCACAGGCAAGGCTGTCAGATGGCCTTGGCCAGTTTAGTCACAGCGCAGAGGGGGCTGGAGCCACAGTGTGAGACACACCAGCTGGTGGGGGCAGCGGGACCCCCAGGGTGGCTCACACACCGGGACCGCCCACCCTTCCTGGGGCTTCTGGGCACTGACTGGCATGAGGTCCCTTGTCGTGCGACTTGGCAAGTCTTCCCTCGGCTCCTTTCCTAAGCCCTGAGACAGGTATGTGCCCACTGGCTCCTTATTCCTAACACATCATGTTTCAGGTTCGTAATGAACAGCTTGTCCATTTTCATCTCTCAAGGAAAAAACCACCACAAGATAACTAAGTTGCATTTTTACTTTCAACTGTCCTGCTGAGTTTGAACACGGGCTTCAGAAGCTCCGAAGAGAACACACGTGACTACATGAGCTGCTCAGACAGACACCTGGGAGGAAATCTGCCCTCGGGTGGGGCGTCCCGGAGACCAGGAGAGAAGGGAAGGAGAGGTGTTGTCAGGTAGGCATTTAAAGATCGCCAGACAGCCCTAGCCGGTGGCTCAGGGGACAGAGCGTCAGCCTGCCGACTGAAGGGTCCTGGGTTCCAGGACCTTTTCCCCCAGTGAGGGGTGTGCGGGATGTTTCTCCCTCCCTCTCCCTTCCTCTCTGAAATCAATGAAAACATGTTTTAAAAAATAAATTAAGAACACTGACAGTGACGAGCAGGTGAAGCCCTGCCGGAGGTGAGCACTGCTGCCTGCCCCTCCCCAGGCCTTCCTGATGTTTACAGCTCTGCTCGTTACGGGGACGGGTAAAAACAAGCGTTCTGAGTCCTGAGGGCACCGGTTTTGGGGGGAAAAAAGTTGTTTCTCAAAACAGACTAGGTTTGAACAAGCCTGAAGGGCTGGGCTGGGCAGAACAGGGGCAAAGACCCCAACTTTGCTGAAGCCTCAGGACAGGGGGCTCCGAGGGGGGGGCTCCCCTCAGCCTCACTGCGGAAGGAACAGTTAACAAAACCCCGAGGAATCTCAGGACGGGCCCATACGCTGTGGCCCAGAGCAGCGGTCGCCAACCGGTGGTCCAGAGGTCCGAAAGGCCGGCGACCGCTGACCGGGAGCCCGAGCCCATGACCTCGGCTGCTGTCTGGGCTGTGTCCCAGACCCCCCGTGTCGGAGTCCTGAACCCAGAAACCCCAAGGGTGACGTCGTTACTTAGGAAGGGGAACTTTAGTGCCCTGAGAATCGAGTTTAAATTAGGATGGGTCCTAATCACTGTGACCGGTGTCTTATAAAAAGGGGGGGTTGGAGACAGACAACAGGCTCAGGGAAGGTGCTGAGGAGACAGGGAGAAGTCAGTGTCCTGGCTTCCAGCCTCCACACTGAGAGGGTCAGCGTCTGTTTAAGCTCCATCTGCGGTGCTGTTACAGCGAAACAGGTCACTGAGGCAGACCAGCGAGGTTGTGCTAGTCTACTTCCCCGTGGGGGAAACCTTCGAAGGTTTGGGTCTCATTATTTCCAAGGTATAGGCAGGCCTTGTTTTATTGCACTTTACAGGTGTTACTTTATTTATTTATTTTTTTACAAACTGAAGGCAAAACCCTCCACCAGCAAAAAGATGACAACTCACCTAACTGGCATACATGCTTTATTGCTGCGGTCTGGAAGCCAAACCACAGTGTCTCCAAAACAACGTTTTAAACATTAAAACAAAGTACACGTGGAACAGATGACTTTAAGGAGATAACGAAAAACAACGAAAAACACAGTTAAACACCCTGGCTGGGCAGCTTGGCTGCTTAGAGCAGCATCCCAATACCAGGTTGTAGGTTTGATCCCCAGTCAGGGCACAAACAAAAAATGAGTGAACGCACAAATAAATGGAACAAATTGATGTTTCTCTCTCTCTCTCCCTCTCTTGCTCTCTCTCTCTTACTCTCTCTCTCTCATCAATAAACTGACTAAGTGAATACGTAGTTAAATTACAGTGAATATTAACCAGCCTGCTGGCCCTGGCCACAGGGCGAGGGGAAGCCCGCCCCAGGAGCATGTACCTGCTTACTGTCGTGCTCACTGGCTTTCTGGCTGCCCTCAGCAGGGGAGTCCCTCCACTTCGCCTGCAACAGAACAAAGAAAACATAGTGGATTAAAAACACAAATATACAGAGACCCGAGCTTTGGCAGGTGCCAAAGTCTCATAGAAAAAGCATTCAGACCTGCTAGCTCTGCTTTGGTTCTCCTGAATCCATTTCTTACCCCTGGGCTTTGGTCTTTGACCCCTAGGATAGGATATGTGAAGGTAGCATGTCAGCTCCAGGCACCCTGAAGCCACAACGGGGACAAACCCCAGACAAGCCTTTCTCTACAGGGGTCCCTTCAAGAGCTGGGGAATTTTGGAAAGACTGAGGCAAAGAATGACTTAGGGCAATTCCTCTCCTTTACCCCCCTCACTTGAAGGTGGTCCCTCTTCCCCTTCTAGAACACCACCTCTTTCTTTCGTTCTTTTTTTATTAATCCTCACCCAAGGATATTTTTCCATTTATTTTTAGAGAGTGTGGAAGGGAGGGGAGAGACAGACAGAAACATCGATATCAGAGAGAGAGATAGTGATTGGTTGCCTCCTGCACGCCAGGACCGGGAACCTGCAACCAAGGTACACGCCCTTGATTGGAATCGAACATGGGACCCTTCAGTCCACTGAGCCAAACTGGCTACGGGAGGAGACCAGGTATTGAGCCTGCAACCCGGGCATGTGCCCTGACTGGGAATTGAACCAGTAACCTCTTGGTGCATGAGCCAACACTCAACCACTTAGCCATACCAGCTGGGCTCAAATCATTTTAATGAACATTTCTTAGAGGATTTTAGCTTCTTCCTCATTTTTCACTCCCAGCCCTCGGGTCCGTGTGGACTGTCTCATGGAAAGACCACCAGGGTTGAGTCTAGTTAGAGAGGCAGTGGCTGCATGGGTGAAAGCACTGTTGCCTGGCTGGTGTGGCTCAGTGGTTGAGCGTCCACCAGGAGGTCACAGCTGGATTCCTGGTCAGGGCACATGCCGGGATTGCGGGTTCAATTCCCAATGGGGGGCATGCAGGAGGCAGCCGATCAATGATTCTCTCTCATCATTGATGTTTCTCTCTCTCCCTCTCCCTCCTTCTCTGAGATCAATATAAGATACCACTGTCCACTTTGAAATGACTAATTTGCATACAGGAGTCTCTCCCCGATGTGACGGAAGACCTGAGGGGGGCAAACCCAGGTGCAGCCCTCCCTGAGTGCCGGAGGGGCTCCGAGAACCCGGACCTTGAGCGCAAGGCCTGACCCAGGGAAGAGGAGCTCGCCTGCAAGAGCAGCCAGCTCGCTGCCCAGCTGAAGGGATTGTTGCAGACAGATGCTACTTTCTTGGTGACTCCAACAGGACAAATGCTCCCATGTCACCGAGCTCGCCTGAAGAAGAGGTCCTCTCTGCCCTCAGACACCCCACGTGAGGGCGGGACACAGTTCTGAACCCTGTCCTCACCAATGTACTCGGTACTCAAGGACATGAAGGTCCTAACCCATCTCTAGGCCAGATCCCCCATCTCTCACTGCCCCCACAAACCTCTAGGACCACCCTGCTGAGACCTGGGGGTGCTCCCTGCCAGGGACCTGCCCACGCCCGCCTCCAGCCGGCATCTCCCCTCCCAGGGGGGCAGTCAACCCTGAGAAGACCCTGCTGGACGGGGGCCCTTTGTTTTTCTTTTTCTTTTCTTTTTTTTTTCTTCTTCTTTTTTAAAAAAAATATTTTTATTGATTTTTAACAGAGAGAAAGGGAGAGAGATAGAGAGCTAGAAACGTCAATGAGAGAGAAACACCAACCAGCTGCCTCTTGCACACCCCCTACCGGGGATGTGCCCGCAACCAAGGTACACGCCCTTGACTGGAATCGAACCGGGGACCTTTCAGTCTGCAGACCGATGCTCTATCACTGAGCCAAACCGGCTTCGGCGGGGCCCTTTCTTTATGGTCAGCCCAAGACGGTGCATTCATGTGGGGCAATATGTGAGGGCCTGGCAAACGGCAAGGCCACGCCAGAGCTCAGCCAGAATCTTCTGGAGTCTTCCAGGAGCCGCCATCCCCAAAGCAGACTGTCTTAACTGCATCACTCAGGAAGCACAACCCTCTTACAATGTGCCCAGCTGCCCCCAGGCAGCCTCCCAGGACCCATCCACTCACGTTTCCGGGCGGGCCGCTGCTGGCCGCAGAGCTGCTGGTGGGCATGAGATCTCGGCAGCCCCAGTCGTTGGCCATCCCCAGGTTCTCTGGAGGAAGAGGGAAAGCAGGCTGTGAGTGGCTGCTGGCTCCGCAGGGTCGTTGGCTAACGGATCCCCACAATTAGGGAAGAGCCTACGCTGGCCTATGAGAGGGCGTCTGAAGCAACATGTGAGCCATCAGGGCGACAGGACCCTCCAGTCTTCGGTGTGAGACACGAATGGTTTGAGTATCAGAAAACAAAGTAAAGTTTCAGTAAGAACAGCCACCCTCCCCATTCAAAGAAAACACAGAAAGTACAAGTGGGGCTGGCCACTAGGCACATACACCTGGATCCCCCCTCACAGGCTTTTAGGAGGAAGCCAAGGAGCACCAAGGGGGAGGACAGGCACCCGTCGCAGACTCGCTTCTGCCTTTGGGAACATTCTATGGGCCCATCCGGCCATCAAAACTACCCCCCGACCACAAAAAAAACCACCAAAACCGTGCCAGCGCCAGCCACTGCACTCAGGAGCACTAGAGGCAGGGCCCCTCTGGGCCCCACCAGGCCCAGCCTGCAACAGCTCCCACCCAGGAGCCCAAAAGGCATGTCAAGTGCTCCCACCTGCTCCCCACCCTGGGAGCCCGCTCCCCACCCTGGGAGCCCGCTCCCCACCCTGGGAGCCCGCTCCCCACCCTGGGAGCCCGCTCCCCACCCTGGGAGCCCGCTCAGGGGGAACTGAGTCTGGAGAGCCCGGGAGCTGTCTCCTCTGATGGGCTTACGACAGCGACTAAGCCAGAGCCCACCGGGCGTCAGGCACTTACTCTCCACGTGTGCGAAGGCGCAGAAAGGACCACGAGGGCAGTAGCCAGTTTGGCGCATGTCGTTGCACTTTGTGGACTTGTAGATCTAGGAGCAAAAATAAAATGAAGTGGAGAGACCCAACTGGAAGTGGGTTTCCATGGGAGCCCAGTCGTCAGAAGGGAGGGATGTGGGCGTGGCCCTTCCCCAAAGGCCCATGGTCCCAAATCCCCTCCTCTGCACAGGGCCAGCCAGTCCGGGAACGAGGGCCTGGAACACCCATCCTTTAAGTCACACAGTCAGCTTCTCCGCCTGATTCAGTGCCTGGTACACAGCAGGTGCATTTCCAGAAACACGTTAAACGAACACGTGTCTACCCCATGACCAGTCCCAATCCACCCCACCTGGGTGGAAGATACTCTCGTGCCGTCAACAACACTGGGGCTGGCCCCGCAGCACCCAGGACCCAGGAGGAGCAGACCAGCCTCAGGACTGCAGACGCGCCTCCTGGGTGTTGCCACAGCAGGATCTCTGCACTCCTGCCCAGACCCCACGCCGACACCTCACCGCCCCTCCTTCCTTCCCCACCTGCTCAGCCGCCTTGCTTCAACTGTCTGCTAGGCAACCACGCCAACAAAAACAAGTTCAAAGGGTCTTAAGCCCACTAAAAATACCAGGAAGCTGCATGTCATTGTGCATCTTACAAGCACAGCACTTTCAGGACACAAATGCAATGACAGCCCTCCTGCAGCCCAGGCGCCTCACTTGGCACAGTCACGCGCTCCCTCACTCCGGGGCCTGCCTTCTCGCCCAGGACAGCCTCTAGTGCACACAGCGCTAGGCTTGCTGGCGTGTAATGACCCTGAGAAAAGGTCATGCTAAGTAAACTCAAAACTCTTGAGTTTTGTCTTACTTAAGCGTCAACAAATGTAACGTATGCAACTAAGGCGTGTGTGTAAAAACAGAAGGCAAACACCCAGAGCCGTGTGGCTGCGAACACCACAGGCAGGCCTGAAATAAAGCCAGGAACAAAGGCCCCAAGGGTGCCACTGGCTGACCGCTTTTCTTCTCTATTAAGTCACAACATTAGGAGTAAACACGGTTAAGTAAAAATTCACCGGTGTCCACCGGTTTTAAGTCCCAATTCTGCACCTACATGAGCCATATAAAAAAGAAGAGCATGGCTCAGTGGATAGAGTGTCAGCCTGCAGACTGAAGGGTCCCAGGTTCGATTCCGGTCAAGGGCATGTACCCTGGTTGCGGGCACATCCCCGGTGGGGGGTGTGCACGAGTCAGCTGATTGATGATTCTCTCTCACCGATGTTTCTAACTCTCTATCCCTCTGCCTTCCTCTCTGTAAAAAGTCAATAATATATATATATATATATATTTAAAAACAAACAAAATTAAAAAAGAAGAGCAGGAGCCCTGGCCAGTGCAGCTCAGTGGTTGGAGCATCGGTCAATGCACCAAAGGGTTGTGGGTTTGATTCCTGGTCAGGGGCGTGTACCTGGATTGTAGGTTTGGTCCCTGGCCCTGGGCACGTGTGGGAGGCAACTAATCAATGTGTCTTTCTCACATCGATATTTCTCTCTCTCTCCCTCCCTCCCTCCCTTCTCTCTATTTAAATAAACTGAAAAATGTCCTTGGGTGAGCGTGAGTTTGGGAAACAGGCAAGTGCTGAGCCACAGAAATGAAGGGGAGTGTCACCTCAGGGTGCAGAGCCAGAGGCCAAGTGAGACTCTTTATTCAGACGCTACCGGTGTGAACAAGCACAACACTTTTTTCTGAGTTTCAAAACTCCAGTGAGTAAATGATCATGTGACTAGAAGAGGAAAAAATAAAAACCTGAGTCCAGCTGTTGTGGGGCCTGAAATGCAGGCCTAGGCTTGAGAGAGGAGGTCCGGAGGTGAAGGCTAGAATTTACCCAAGTTCACCACACAGCCCGATGCGCCTGCTCGGCTCCAGCTCAGGGCCTGCCTTCCAGAGCCCGGGGCAGCATGTGCCTGAGGAGGCACCTCATTCCCGGCCAGGCTGTGCAGGCCCCGGTGCGGCAGCCCTCCACCGCCACCCGCTGGCCCTGTCTCCCCTCTCGGCCCGTGGAGTTCAGCGAAGGAGCCCTCCCCTCAGTTCACAGGGATCAGCACACACACTACCACCCCTGTGGGTGGACCCCCTCCCGAGCCCAGCCCTGGCTCCTCCCTCCTTGGTCCCCATGCTCCCCTGCTAACTCAGGCTCTGACGGGGGCTGGGCAGCTTAGTCGTTTTCAACACAAATCCACGTGAGCTCTGGCTGGCGCAGCAGGCTCTGGTCACACCCTGCACGATCCAAAGGAAGGACTGACCTTGACCAGCTCCGGGGAGGTGACCTCGGTGCCCCTAGAATGTCTGCCTGGTAAGTGTCTGTTTACCTGGCCTTGGCCACACTGAGTAACTAATAACCATGTGACCTAGGGTGGGGGCCCTGGACCCACGGCCTCAACTCCACTCCGGTCAGCTGTCTCCACCTCTGACCTCCAACAAAAACCTGAGACACAAGGCTCAGGTGTGGTCGGCCACCCTGTGCTGGTACCGGAAGAGGGAGGGCTGTCCCGTCACTCACTGGGGGAGGGCAGCTGGAAGCTCCCACCGAGCTCCCAGGCCCTGCCCCGGGGACCTGCTCTGTGCTGACCACACTCCGTACCCTGACAGTGTAACGAACCCCAACTGCGGACCTAATGGCTTTGCTGAGCTCGTGAGTCTCTCTAGAGAGATCCCCAAACATAGCCAGGAGCCACCAGACCCTCCCTCTCAGGCTATGGCTATGCTGACCGGAGAGCTGGAACCCGCCCGCCGCGTACCTCCGGGTGGAACTGCTGCTCCGTGCGGGAATGGCAGTACTGACAGCCGTCTCCGCTGTCGCACCTCGAGGGCTCACCCCACTCATCGCCATGCTTCACGCTGGGGCATGGAGTGGACCTGGGCGACAAGGGGGGCACAGGTGGTGCTGGAGGAGACCGGCTTTCCGCGTGCCATGGGTGCCGGTCTACCCGCCTGCCGCGGGGCCGCCTCTCAGGATGGGGCACCCACAGGCACAGCCCCCGGAGGGACCGTCTCTTCCCTCCAAGGACAGGCGAGAGCAGGGCGAGGGCCATCCGAACGCAGAAAGCGCTTGGAGTCCCGGGGTTAATTTCCAGAGCAATTAAAGGGGGCCTACGTCGGGGCTCCCCACGCTGGCCTGAACAACATCTCGGAGAAGCGACCGGACCCCTGAAGCCAGGAGGCGGCGAGCCCATCTTTTCTTGAGGTCATTTCAAAATTGGACGTGAGACTTTTCCCTCCAGTGTGAAAAGTGAACCCAAACCCTCCCTTCGTCATGTGCTTGGCAGCATGATTGTAACTTGCTTGGTTTCATAGGAAAAAAATAAAAAATACCGCCAGTAATAAATGAGACTTTTTGTTTTCTTGGTTTTTTAAAATGTTTATTTTCTAACCCTTTCAGATGCATTAAACTCGCTTTACCTTCTCAAGCTAGTATTTGGTCACTAACACTTAGGCTCTCTGTTCCCTGACTGTGAAATGACTCAGAAAGAACGATGACGTAGCCGGCCCTCCACGGCCGACCCCTCAGCCAGGGAGGTGGCACCAGGTGAGCAGGGCGGCTCTGCTCGAAGGAAGAGCTGACACGCGCTCGGGGCCTGAAGGAGGATGGCGGCCAAGGCCAGGGGCCTCGCTCCCGGGGCTCACCTGTACTGGAACCTCCTGGGGTTCCGCCGCCGGTCCCTGCTGTTGTGGTAGTGGGGACACGCGTAGCCCTGGCGACAGAGGCGTGGAGGCTTCGGGCACTGCTCAGTCTTGTAGCTGCCCAGCACGAAGTTGGTGTCTGAAAAACAGGAGTCCGCATGTGAACGAATTCACGCATGCTCACAGTACACGTGCTCGCAGCAGCTCTAGTCATGTAGCCAAAAGGATAAACACCCAGTGTCCGTCCCCAGAGGAGCGAATCAGCACGGTGTGCTCATCCACACGGAGGCACGGTATCGGCCACACACAGGAATGAAGCCCCGACGCAGCTGCAGTGTGGCTGAAGCTCGAAAACATGACGCTCAGTGCAAGAGGCCAGACACAAAGGACCATGCGGGTGTGTTCCACTCACAGGAAACGTGGAGAACAGGCAACACCACAGACAGGAAGCAGACCAGGGGGGCCAGGGGGTGTGGGGAGTGACTGATGACAGCTATGGGGCTGCTGTGGGGAAACCAGAGAGGGCATGGAACCAGGGAAAGGTGGCGGTTGCACATCGAATATCCTAAGCATCACTGAATGCACACTTAAAATGGCTCATTTGCCGAAACCGGTTTGGCTCAATGGATAGAGCGTCGGCTTGGGGACTGAAAGGTCCCGGGTTCAATTCTGGTCAGGGGCATGTACCTTGGTTGCGGGCACATCTCCAGTAGGGGGTGTGCAAGAGGCAGCTGACCGAAGACACTCTCTCATCGATGTTTCTAACTCTCTCTCTCTCTCCCTTCCTCTCTGTACAAAATCAATAAAATATATTTTTTTAAAAATGGCTCATTTAACCCTGGCATAAACAATGGGCTTTGGTGATCATGTGTTGACACGGGTTCAAGACTGTACCAAGTGTCCCCCTATGGTGGGGATGTGGGCAGGTGGGGGCACACGGCATACGGGGGCTCTCTGTACTTTCCACTCATGTCAAACCTAAACTCCTCTAAAAACTACAGTCTATTTATTAAATGATTAACTCCATGTATCTGGATTTTATCTCCAAAGCAAAAACACACAAAAAGCCACCAGGGTCATTTAAAAGCAGTAACCAGCCCTAGATGGTTTGGCTCAGTGGACAGTTGACTTGGGGACTGAAGGGTTCGATTCTGGCCAAGGGCACATGCCCAGGTTGTGGGCTCAGTCCCCAGTGGGGGGCGTGCAGGAGGCAGCTGAGCAAGGATTCTCTCTCATCATTGATGTTTCCATCTCTCTCTCCCTCTCCCTTCTTGTCTTAGGTCAATAAAAATACATTTAAAAAAGCAGTAACCAATGAAAGGATTGCTAAAACTCCTATCTTCTCTTGGTTAATAACTGACACCTTACTGCATATGCTGGGTTTTATTTCAATTACTGCTGACATTCAATATTAGTTCATACAGTGTTTAGGCATTTATACAATTTATGAGTGATCCCCTGGTAAGTCTGACAGCAGACATAGTTGTTATAACCTTTCTTATGCTGTACTTTATATCCACGTGACTATTTTGTAACTACCAACTTACTAATATGCTGTTTTTATTTATTTTTTAAAAATATATTTTATTGTGTTTTTTTTACAGAGAGGAAGGGAGAGGGATAGAGAGTTAGAAACATCGATGAGCGAGAAACATCGATCAGCTGCCTCCTGCACATCCCCTACTGGGGATGTGCCCACAACCAAGGCATATGCCCTTGACCGGAACTGAACCCGGGACCCCTGAGTCCGCAGACCGAGCTTTATCCACTGAACCAAACTGGTTAAGGCTAATATGCTGTTTTTATTTATTTATTTATTTTTTATATCTTATTGTTTTTTTACAGAGAGGAAGGGAGAGGAATAGAGAGTTAGAAACATTGATGAGAGAAAATCATCGATCAGCTGCCTCCTGCACACCCCCCACTGGGGATGTGCCCACAACCAAGGTACATGCCCTTGTGACCGGAATCGAACCTGAGACCTTTCAGTCCGCAGGCCGACACTCTATCCCCTGAGCCAAACCGGTTTCGGCTAATAGGCTGTTTTTAAATACATCTGCTCAGTGGACTAAACGTTGGTAGCTGAGGAACCAGCAGGCGGGAAGGAAGGGGGGGGGCGGCGGAGGGGAGAGTCCTGCCCACGGTGCAGTGAGAGCAGCAACGCCATGCACAGGGCACGTTACAGGACCATACCACCCGCCCGCCATACTCAGCTTCACATTCCTCTTATCTGACAAGGACGCTAGCCACACGACAGGGCAGAGAGAGAACAAGAGGGGTTTGGCAACAAGGAAGCTGACTTTAATAAAATAAAAATGGTAAGGCATTTAATCACAAGTATTGACCGAGTGCCTGGAACAGACACGAGGTCCCGTGCTAAGTGGAGGAAACACACATAATGAACCGTATGACAATAACCGTGAGACACAGGCTTACAGACGGCCTTCCGTAGGTGAGTGGTAAATGCACCACCGTCCATTCGCACCTCCTCCCTTAAGCTCAGCCCTGATGGGGACGGGGACCTGCGCCCACACTGTGCTGTGGACCAGGGCACCCGCTTCATGCGGGGAGAAGTCAGGGATTTTCCCATCAGGAAGGCCTATCAGCTGGGAAACAGGAAATGGGACATTCTCAAAGGCATTTTCCAGAAACACAAAAAAATCCCAAGTGAAGCACTTATCCTTGATGCTGGCAAGCAGGGAGCTGTGGGCACACAGCGTCTCTTCGGTGGGGACACTCTGCCCCGAGCAGTGACATCACAGCACGGGCAGGAGCACACGCCGTCTCCCTGAAACGTGGAGAGGGGTCCCCGGGCCCCAGAGGAGGCCGAGGCCACGGTCCTCAGGGCTGGTTCAGCCGGGGCCCAGTCCTGAGTCTCAGCACTGGCCACGCGGGTGCCACACACATGGCAGGGCCAGAGAGGGGGAGCAGGACGTGGGAGGGATCCGGAAAGGCCTGTGCAATCACCTTCATTAATTTATCTCTGGACCGCAGCCCAGCACAGATGCTCGGTGAGCAGAGGAACTCACGGCTCACCTGACTACAGTCCTGCAGGGCGGTTCATGCGTGTGAGAGTCAGGAAGGAAGTTGGGGGAATCACAGCATTACTTAGAGGGGTTTTCTTAAACCCTCACTGCTCTTTGGGATGCAAATCCAGAGACAGAACGCAGAGCAGTGGGTGGCAGGGACCAGGGAGGGACTGCTTAATGGGGATGGGGAGTCCGTCCAGGGTGATGGGAATGTTCTGGAATTAGAGAGTGTTGGTCACACAACACTGGGAATGGACTAAATGCCACTGAATTGTTCACTTTAAAGTGGCTAAAATGACAAGTTTATGTGACATGTATTTTTACCACAAAAAAAAAAAAAAAAAAAAAAGATTTCATCGCCATCATCTGTGGAGGCCGCCAGGGGCAGGGCCCCATAGTCCCAAAGGACATGGCCACACGTCAGACAACCCCCAGGGACCTCAGGCTGCTGAGCTGAAGGCCACGCAGAGGCCCGCAGGGCAGGGAGCACCATGGACAGCAGCCCCCCCCCACCCCAGAAGCGGTGGTGTGAAGTGGCAGGGGGGCCAGATGCCTGGGTGCAGACCCGCTCAGTCCCCACGCCCCTGGGACTGAGGGTAAAGCACTCAACTCAGTGAGTCTCAGTTTCCCCACCTGAGCTACAAACGAGGGCAATGAGGTCCACTGTGGAGGTCACTTTACAAACAGGGACCAGGGCTCCCCCTGCCCACCCTCAGGGGCGGCCACGGGGTTACCTTGCCACCGGGGGTCCTCGCCCAGGATCTTCTCGATCATGGCCTGGCTGGCTAAGACCCCAGGCTGCAGATCGGGGATGCCATCCCCGCCGCCGAGCTGGCCGTTCTGCAAGGCTTCCTGGGCCTGCAGCTCCCTGCGACCAAACAACACACCGATTATGGCTCTGGAGAATGTCCCAGCCCTTCCCGAAGGCGAGAGTTACTTGGTTCTGTCACTTTAAGGAGCCCCCATATGTGTCTGGAGAGGCTGGCGGCCTAGAGGGGTCAGGACAGCATCCTGGGTCCCTCTGGCACACCCTTGTCCTGGGACAACAGTCTTGACCCAAATCCTAACAGCTTAGGAGCTGGGTTGTGCTTGGTGAGGACTCGCTCATCTCCCTCACCCCCTAGCGAGCTCCTCGTTGCACGAGCCAGAGGGTTTAGAATAAAATCAAAGCCCGGGAGAAGAGCCGCTTAGGACCGGTGACGCCTGCCACTCACCGGATGTCGCACACCGGGGGCCGCAGGTCCAGGGGGCCGTGGGCGAAGGCGCAGTGCAGCCCGTTCTTCACGCAGTGGCCGCGGGCGTCGGTCTCGTGGATGCAGGTGCCGGTCTTGTAGTAGCGCAGGTGGTACTTGCGCTCGGTGTCCCCAGTCGTCCGGTGCAGGTACGGGCACCTGGAGGCAGAAGGGTGACCGTCTAGGCCTCAGGACCTGGGACAAGCCTCAGCGCCAACCTGCTCCTCTCTCCTTAGCGCCTGGCCAGCAGCTGGCTCTTCCCTCCTCCCCTCAGATACCTGCCCTCCCCGAAGGATTACATCACCGGACAGACCACTGTCCCCGATCAGGAGGCCCTGCCCGAGGCACTCAGACCCCCACACGTCCCTCTGTTACACAGGGCAGCAACACACAACGCCGAATTTCCCTGGAAACCATCCTTGACAGTTTCCTGAACAGAGTGTGGGTAATCAAGTTCACTGCCAGGACTCAGCCACGTCACTCGTGTTTCCTGACAAGCGGTATCAAATGAAGAGCGGTGGCCGCGCCCACCCCCGTGCAGGCACTTGAGGGAAGGAGGGGAGGAGTGTGGGGAGAGACATGGGAGCCGCCGTGGCTGGAGGAGGAGGCTGCAGGGAGACAGGCCGGAGAGAAGCGAATGGGGATGGAGGGACATGGGGGGCAGTCACACAGGCACGTGCCGCTGAGAGCCGCTCGCTCCCCGAGAGACACACGCGGCTCCGAGCAGGGACCTGGCCTCATGCTGCAGGGCGGCAGCCGCAGCGGACGCGGCTGAGAAGGATTCAGTCCCTGTGCACCATGGGAACGGAGCCTGCCTCGAAGCTGGTCCCCCAGACCAGGGCCTCGGCAGGAGGGGGAAGAGAAATACAAAGGATCCGAGTGGCAATGACCCCTCGAGCAGCCCGAGAGTCAAGGCAGGGCCAGCTGCTACAAGTCCCCAATCCAAGGGCAGCGAGGCGTGGGAGAGGCCCACTCTCACCTGCTGTCTGGCAGGCTGTGGGCTTAGACTTGGATGCTGGGAGACCCCGCTGGTACAGCTCCGCACGCAAAGCACAGATGGCTGGCGCTCTGTCACCTTACAGGACCCAAAAGTAAATAACAGATGACTGAGTGACCATCCATTCTAAACCTTATCTTATGAGGAAGCTATGGCTCAGAGAGTGGACAGCTCACCCCAGACCTCACTGAGCACCTGGGTGGGCAGGGCATAAGGGAAGTCAGACACACGGGGCCAGGTGAGTCCCCGGGTCGCAGGAGCCAGCCAGCAGAGGTCAGGTTAGAAGCCCGCTGTGAGCCCGGAACCGCGCCCGGAAGAGCGGGAGGAAGGACCTCCGGAGATGTCTGTGCACGGCGGCCGCAGCAGCACAGCGCACAACGGCTCAGAGCTGGAAATGGCCCCAGTGCTCATCACCGAGGAACAGACCAGCAGCCTGGAGTCCATCCAGACCACAGGACATGGCCCGGCATAAAAAGAATGCAGCACTGCCACACGCTGTGTGGGTGAAACCTATAAAACCTCATGCTAAGTGAGAGATGCCAGACGCATATCACGTATTCCACTTATAAGAGGTCCCTAGAGCAGCCAAACGCATCGGGACAGGAAACAGAGGAGGTTGCCAAGGGCTGGAGGAGGGGCGAATGGGCGTGGCTTTTCATGGGGACAGAATTTCTGTGTGCGGTGATGAAAAGAATTTAGAAATAGAGATGATGGTTGTCTAACATTGTGAATGTAACGGATGCCGCTGAAATGTACGTTTGAAAATGGCAAATACTGCCCTGGTCAGTTGGGCATTGTCCCTGTACCAAGAGGTTGCCAGTCCTATTCCCAAAGGCACATGCCCAGGGTCGCAGGCTCAATCCCTGGTAGGGGACCGTAGAAGGCTGCTGATTGATGTATCACTCTCACATCAATGTTTTTCTCTCTCCCTCTCTTTCTAAAAACCAATTAAAACTCTTTAAAAAAATAAATATTATCATATCACTATATGTTAGTATGAAAAAGGAGATGTTGCCCTGGTTAGTTGGCTCAGTGGATAGAGCGTCAGCCTGTGGGCTGAAGGGTCCTGGGTTCAATTCCAGTCAAGGGCACATGCCCAGATTGCAGGCTTGATCCCCAGTGGGGGTGTGCAAGAGGCAGCTGATCAACGATTCTCTTTCATCATTGATGTTTCTATCTCTCTCTCCCTTCCTCTCTGAAATCAATTAGAATATTAAAAAAAAAAAAAAAGATGTTATACATACAGACAGCACTCTCCATGCCCACAGAGAAGGTGACTGTTTCCTTTGTGTTCCTAACAAGGATTTCCAAGAAACATTTTTGGGAGATAGAAGTGAAATGGCAAAACATTGGCATAATTACTATATCCTAATTGATACAGTAATTCACCCTCACCTAAAATCCATATTATAAAGTAATAGTTTCATATATATATATATATATATATATATATATATATATATGGTATATATATATTTTTTCAAGCTCCTTTAAGCCCTTCCCTATGTCCTCACACAGCACTGCCATGTAACACAGTTTCTGGTACCAGGGCCTGAGGATGTCCCAGAGAACCCTCTGCCACACCAGGGAACCTGATCCAGAACACAGGACCCCTCCCCGTTTACTCATACAGATTACTGTCATTCATATATTATATATATATATATATATATATATATATATATATATAGCCAGCGACTGTAACACAGGAACAACCGGAATGGCTGGTTGCTATGATGCCCACTGTGGCCAGTGAACTGGCTGATCAGGAATGGGGCTGGCCAGCCAAACACCCCCCCCCCCCCCAGCAAGCCTGTCCCACCACCATAGGCCCGTAGCACCTCCCCCCAGTTGGCTCCACCCCTAATTGCAACCCCACCCAAAAGGGGGCGGGGCCAGACAGCCAACCTTCTGCAGCCCCTCCCCTTGCCCAACCCGGCTCCAATCAGGGACAGGGTGGCTGGCCAGTCACCCATGGCCCCTCCCCAAGGCTGCTGGCCTGGGTCAGCACCCCCTACTCCATTTGGGGGCGGGGTCAGCTGGCCCACCACCCACAGCCCCTCCTCATGGCCGCCCCCACCCCCAATCGGTCCTCCAACCCCAATCGGCCTTATTGAACAGGCCAGCCATCCTCCCGCCATCTCCTCCTGACAGGCCCAGCCCTGAGCTGCCCCTATTGGGGCCAGGCTGGCCGGACCCCACCCGTGCACCAATTCGTGCTCTGGACCTCTAGTAATAAATAAAGAACTTGAAGAGAGAGACCAGGAATTCACAGAACAATAGACTAGGGAAATAAGGACTTTACAAGACAGAAAAGGTAGTGGATCATGACCACTGAGAGGCACTGGGCATGGAAAGCCCCGCTCCGGACTGCAGAGGAGCAGACACTGTTGCCGCAAAAAAGCCAGAGTGTAGCCACTTCTCTGGAGCGGCGCCTGGTGACAGGGAACGGCAGGTGCATTTACTCTCCCCGAATAACCCACTTCCAGAGACCTGTCCCAGAGACAGCTGGCAAAAAGAGAAAAAGACGTGCCCACAGCACGCTCACTGCAGGACTGTCTGTCATCCTCAGAGGCAGCAAAAACCAAAGTCCTGGAATAAACCACAGGGATGGCAGTGCAGCTCTGAGGAACGAGGGAGAGGGGGGCCAGTATGGACGAGGAGGTATTGTGAGGGAAAAACATGAAGAAATGGGTGTTTATATCGGAAGATGGGGAACAAGAATACTATACATATGCTTATATAAAAATGGAAGGAGGAGCAACTGTTTAATGGGGAGAGAATTTCCGTTTGGAGGTGGGAAAGATCTGGAGACGGACGGTGATGATGGCAGCAATGTTTATGGACGTAATACCACTAAAGTGTGCGTTTTAAAAAGGTAAGATGGTAAATTTTACCGTGAAGTAAACAATTTAAGCTATTAGGAAAGCCACCATTCTACAAAAGCAGTTCCAATCTTCAGAACTACCTAGGCATGCACTCCAAGCCCAGCATAAGAGTCCACAGTCTGGGGCGAGGGCCACAGCGCACCAGAGCTGGAGCACAACTCACTCCAAACAGCCGCAGCCGCACAGCAGAGGGCTCCCGATTCCCCTGATGTTAAATCCATTTCATTTGTTCCCTAACGGCCCCTCAGGGTAGCTCTGCCCATCATTTGTTTCTTCTCCAGTACCATTGCCATGGCAACCAGAGTCAGGCCAGAGCCTCTTGTTCCCCAGCACTGAGCATCAAGTACACACTATTTCACCCAGAGCATGTCATCTCCTTCATGAATTAAAACATGAACTCACCTTAAAATACGGAGAACATTTACCAAGAAGAAATTGGCTTCACCTTAAGAACATTCAAGCGGTCAAAGGGAAAACCTCAGAGAATACCCAGTGACAAAGCCAGGCCCCTCCGGGGCTAGGGAAGAGACCCCAAGGGACAGCCTGACACCACTGCAGCCTCCTCCTGCACAGGAGGGCATCTATCCATCCCAGGACGACAGCCAGCCTCGTAGCACTTGCCAAATTCAGGGTGGCATCCGTGGTTCTCAAACTTGCCTACAACAATTAGTGACCTGAATAGCGTAATTAAAACAGGGCTTGTGATGGCATGGTGTAGGGGCACGTGGTGTGGTGCATGCCAGACGCCGGACGTAGCTCCACACAGTGCTGTGGAACCACTGAACCAGGATGGGAGGGACACAAGGTTCTTCCTTCCCCAGCCCTGGCCTAGCAGCTCAGTTGTTTAGAGTGGCAGTCCAAGATGCTAAGGCTGTGGGATTGATCCCTGATCAGGGCACATATAAGAGTTAACCAATAGCGGAAACCAGTTTGGCTCAGTGGATAGAGCGTCGGCCTACGGATTGAAAGGTCCCAGGTTCAATTCCAGTCAAGGGCATGTACCTTGGTTGCAGGCACATCCCCAGTAGGGGATGTGCAAGAGGCAGCTGATCGATGACTCTCTCTCATCGATGTTTCTAACTTTCTATCCCTCTCTCTTCCTCTCTGTAAAAAATAAATAAAAAGATATTAAAAAAAAAAAAAGTCAACCAATGAATGCATAAATAAGTGGGGGGACAACAACAACAGATTGCCCTATCCCTAAGGCTCCAGGAGAGCCTGACATTGTCCCTTTCTCACCTGAAACAAAGCTGGACCCCCCAAACTCAAACCTA